ACCACTGCTGATGAAACTATAAACCTTGAAGTCCTGTGTTTCACTGAGGACGTAAATAGAATGATTACCAACTTTCGAATATTCAGCAGTTGTATGTCAATTGGATAAGAGGTAATTTACATGAATTAAACTGAGAAGTATTCTGAATGCATATCAACAAACTTATGCTGACTGAATAAACAAAACTCTGGTCATTCAGTAATGAATGCTCTTTTAAGACTAATTCAGGTGAAGACTTTACCATGAAAGAAGAGAACACGAAGTTCAGCAAAGATGACGATCCTTTTGGCGATTTCATTTTAAAAAGCTGTACAATGGCATTTAAATACATAATTTTACATGGATCCAATTCTTGTTTGATTCCACATAATTATGACGGCGAACAAAAGGTGACAATAATTTTCAACTAGATATGGTTTACGAGAGTCTTAGAAAGAGAATCACACAGGAATAGTTAGAATGGATAACAAGTGTGTAAAAATGAACATGGAAACAAAATTGAAAGAATAATTTTGACTTGAAATGGAAGTTAGGAGGTGTGAATATAGATTACAAGAGCCTCAGAAACACAAAAATCCCACAGGATTAAGATATAATTGTGAAATAGTTATTTTAAACGAATTATAAATGTGAGCAGAAAAAGCATGCAAACAACCTTAAAATAACTGTTTTTATAACTGGAAACAGAAATGGAGTGAATCGAATGAAGACAGAGGGAGTAAGAATCACACACACAGCGAAAGAAAAGAAAAGAAAAAAACGGAAGCTAAGGGAACATAACGAACTGGGTCCATGTTAGTTGTAGAGGTTGGACTAATTTCTTTTTGAACATACAGCTCCGGCTTCTCGATGCATATGGCGAGGGCTTCTGCGGTACAGATAAGTCGGAAACATACTGCTTTTGGTAGGTTCTGTTGACTTTGTAAATTACTTTGAAAGAATCAGTTGAGATATTGTATGGGGAGGTGTTGATCAGATGTTCAATAATGGCACTTCTGATTGAACCGGTGCCTCCTCTTTGCAGCCACGCTGGTTAATGTTCTCTAACGCGTTTTGAAAGGACGCGCAAACAACTAACTCTGCACCTAGCTTCTCACAAGCGGGTGAACTGGTATATGCACATTGAATTGGTCATATGCAAGAGTTTGTCCTTCGCATTGTTTCGAAGTATTTGACTGCTAGAGAATGTCACTCTTAGTGTTGCTGCAGGGAAGGTCTTCTTTTAAGAGCTGGATATTCTCCTCTTCAGGATATTGGCTGCCAAATCTCCCTAGAAATTCAGATTCAGATACTGCATTTTGTTTGGCGCTGAATCGCATTCTCCACTTTTTGGTTTAGGTTTCATGTTCTTTTCGACAAAATGTGTCAGGTAGCTCCATTATAGATAAGATTTTATTTTGATAAATCGCACAGTGTTTACAGTTATATGAACTGATGACGTTTCGAGCACAAACTATTGCTCATAATCATATCAAGAACTTGATATGATTATGAGCAATAGTTTGTGCTCGAAACGTCATCAGTTCATATAACTGTAAACACTGTGCGATTTATCAAAATAAAATCTTATCTATAGTGTCAGGTAGCTATTTTGAAGTTGTTCTGTTGGAGGAGTTGGGGATTATTTGACATATGCATACACACCCTTTCGCCAGAAGAAACAACCATTAAAGGCTATAGAACTTCTATCTGCTCAGACCCTAAAAACAAACACGATTCAGTTATCTACCTACAAAGAAATGATTTCCAATGCAAACACTGCTCCACTCAAAAGAATACAAACATTCTGCACTATTGAAATTCGTACTAATGTATGACTATCAGGCAGTGACAGAAGGCGAATGGTATCATAAATGGTTCCCTGAGTCTACTTTTGTCTAGCTTCATAGTTAATCTATGACTTAAATCCAAGTATTCCTGTTTGGTAACAGGAAACTAATCGATGCGTTCTTCTTCTGTATGCCTCACCAAAAAGCTTCCACCAGTCACATACAGTCCTAAATTAGATTCTCACAATGTCAGTTCATGTTTTAGGTTGATAGAATCTGAGGTATTATTCAACCATAATAATAAGAAGACGATATTAGAAACTGCAACGATGTCACCTGGCAGCTACACAGTCCAAAAGTTCCTCATGCATAAAACACTTGCTGTTTAACAGAATTGACTGACCAAACACAGTTGTAATACAGCCTGGGAATTAACCTGAGAATATTCCTAACCAGATGAGATCTAAACTCTGTCGTCAAGAATCAAACTGAATGAAATGTATTTCTCGCAGACTCTCAGTGGTCAAGCGATCACTCCACAGCGTAACCTTGAGCTCATTCAAGCAGAATTTACCACAGTTGTAAAGTGAACCATAGAAATTAGACATCAACCAGAAAAACAGGGACAAACGATAAGGAGTAAGTCGAAAGACGGTTGGTGAATGTCGAAACGATGACATACTAGTTAGGCTGAAAAGTCAGTAATATCAAAATTAGTTGAAATACTTAAATACGTCTTCAAGTATTGGTTTGTAGGGATTTTCTTTGACTGGTTGGAGGATTTCATCATCGAAGACATTGCTAAGTGGTTGCGCTATGTCGTGAATTGCCAGAAGTTAGAATTCATGTGTTGCCCATTGGAGCGGGTCCATGTGGCGTAATGGTCTACGAGCTCGCTGGCCTTGTAACCAGAATATCTTGGATTCGAACTCCTTGTGGCAGGTGCGTACGGATGAAGAGTTCAAAACTATGACGAAACAGCTGTCCAGTACTCCTTGGCCAGTTTCCTAATGGTTCTCTAACTGATGTCGGCTCATGATGAAATCATCCAAATTACATAAGTATCAGCACGGCAATTAGAATGTACATGGAGAGATTTGATGAGCAGTTACTGTCTCTTGCATTATCTGATTTTAAATTCTGATGCACTTTTGACATTTTGGAATATGAATGGAAACAGTATGGAAGTCTACTGCTTTCACAGTCTAGAGTTTGGTGTAAAATTCAAATGTAGGTTTTTATGAAAATTGAAAACATTCAAATCATGATGTGTCATCTGTTTGAGATAATAATTGGTATCTAGATTATTAGGATAAGCGAATATGACTCTTTCATAAGATTATACAGCTCACCAACTATATTTAGATAGTGTCTTATCAGTAGTTTTATTGCTCAACTACATTCTGGTAAAAGTTGTCTCACTAATACCGGTTTGTTAATACACAATGCCACTCAAACAAATTATAACTTGTCACTATCATCATACAGATGTGCGTCGGTGGCATAGCGTTTAGGACGCTCGCCGACCATGCACATGATCCGGGGTTCGATTCCCGGCCACCTACGCACTCCTCTACCTCGCTACACAACAAATAATGCTGGTAAAGAGGAAAGGTTTCGCATGAGGCTAGCAACCCCATCCTGTAAAAATAAGCACCACTGCTACAGAAACTTCAAGCCACTAGATTGAGGCCCTATGTTCCACTGGGGAACGTGAAGGAAAAAAAATCATCATACAGAATAGGTCATAGTTAAATATTGAGATTCGCTTCAGTACGCCTCAACATTATGCGTCGATGGTTCAGTGGTAGACTGTTCCTCAGCCACCGACTATGTCCTAGGTTAACTCGTTGGCCTAACGGGGAGAAACAACCGTACACTGAAGGAGTGGCTGGCCTCGAAGGGCGGGAATTGGGAAACGGAGCTTCCACTGATTTTCCTCACACATCGGGCTACCACTCAGGAAACAACGAAGAAGTCACCCTTTCAACTGATGTATGGTAGAAAACCACGATTACCGATACACAATGAGACCTGGCCCCTGCACCAAAAGTGGAGTACGACGAAATTAAAATCAGAGAGGAAAGAGGCAGTCAAGAATGTAACACGGAAGCAGCGGAGTGATGTCGCGAAGTCTCAGATGAAAGAAAGGAGGCAGTGCATTACCTTTGCAGTCGGGGACCAAGTGAAGTGTAGAGACAGGAGATATACAGTTGGAGGCGGGGCAGGTTCACGGAAACTCCTCCCAAAGTGGGAAGGACCGTACACAATCACAAAAAGACAGGGTCAAGTATATACCATCCGAAGAGGTGACAAACAGAAACGAGTTAATGCCAGTCAGCTCCAAAGATGGGTACAGTGGGACAAGCCGATCAGTAACAATCCTCAACTAGAGAATGTAGCACCCAGAAGGTCGGAACGTCTGCGTACGAAGCTATTTGACGGGGGGACGAGTGTGGTGAGAGCAGGCTGCTAGCCAATTGGTAGACATTAATCTAGGCTGATTCAACAAGCAATCACAGCAGACTTAAACGTAGGCAAATATGATTCGCAGATAAATGGCTCTACTTTCCGAGAAATATCGAAAACAACCAATCATAAGACTGTGTTTGTCTGCTTAACTTCCGAGAAACAACCAATTAGAAGACTGCCTTTTTCTGCTTGCATAAGCCTTATTAATGTACATAAAATATAGATAAATACGCGTTGATTTTCGTAATAAAACGATCTGTTGCCTGGCCCTTGTCTTCTGTTGTTACAATACACCTAGTTTAGTCGTCAGTGAGCCCAGTAAACAAGAAATGTTGTGTATGAGGTCAGCAACACCTACCGGTAGTATAATCAGACACCGCTGCTACTGAAACTTCAAAAACCGAGGCCATTACTCCGCTCAGAATGCAATGGAATTCAAAACGAAAGGCTTCAACAAAGTGTAGCCCAAGGTTGTTTGTCAAGACATTCAGATAAAAAGTACTTTCGCAATACTACCATTCAAGATAAAGTACTTTAAAAATACAAATGAACCAATCATACTGTTTGTTTAGCTTTAAATAGAAATATAGTGTGAATGGCATTTGTGACCTTAACCTCTCAATCGCATGTCTGTTTATGCTAAGTCAGATGTGAAATATGCCTGCCTGTAACACACTTCGTGTGGTGATTATTTCATTTACATAAAGGTTAAGAAGGCATGCCAATAAAACAAACTCTCATTTTTAGTATCATGCTACATATCGCCTACGCATGAAACAATGTGAACAAGGTTATATATTCTTATATAAATATAGACACTAAGCTTGGCTACTTAATAAAGTGACTTGGAAACAGAACACTATTCATTTCAAAGTAAGCATTGTATAAATTTTCTTTGTCATTCGCCTAATTCCCTGAATAACGTATTCATCTGCAAATTTCATGGCATCATAAATGCATAATGCTGTATACTACTGACTGATTCACTAGCATGAGTAGTTGACTACCACTCACACTAAAATAGTAGTGCTTCCTGGCTAGGTTGGAGTGATTTAAACATCAGACTGCAGTTTCATTCATCTAGGAGCAACCCCATCACCGATGTACTAGGTTTAAGTCAACTCAGGCAGTCGTTTCGATTCATGATCTGCTTAACACTGTCATTAATGGTTATCAAGAAATCAAGCAAGAAGGAATGAAAATTGATTGATAGATTGATTGATATCAGGAGTTGAACACTGCTCACATCAGCGAGTGGTCCACGCTAGCTAGATGAAAAATTTGGCTTCCAGCAAAGTTAAACTTTAAGTACCAGTAAGTACCAACGGTGGCACAGTGGTTAGGACTCTCGCTGACCATGCACATGGTCCGGGGTTCGAGCCCACGCCGGCGCACACCTGATATCTATGGCCGGCCTGCAAAATTCGGGCTACCGACATCCATGCTGAAAATTCCATACTTGTACCAAAAATACAGTGTGGAATAAAGCTGTAAATCAAAATAAATAAAAATGACCTTGAACGCACCAACCACATGATAAAGGTGACTTTTACTTAAAAAGTGCATTTATTCTTGAAAATAATGAATTAAAAGGCATGAAAGTGTTTGTTATACAGGATGCGCCTCTTTCAAATGTAACAACAATATCTCTCAGTTTTGGATTGGAGAATTAAGAGAGTAATTTAACCATAATCTTTCCATGACCTAACCCTAATGTGAAAATATCTCTAAACTAACCCTAGTTTAACTGGAAACGACCCTAATGTCGTTCTCATTAGGTAAACCTCAACCTTACCTTTCCTAAGCCAAAACCTCAACTTAATCTTTCCCATAACTAACATGAGACTTGCCAGATATCCCATTTAATACATGACATAACCCTTCATTAAGCACATTTATAAGCATGATTAAAATATTATTTACCAGGTTCCAGCAACTTGCTCGCTAAGGGTTTCAGTATCATTGGCTTGGTCACACTCTGCTGGTATTTAATGGTGCCTAAAGTTTAACTTGCTTGGTTTACAAAGTAAACCATTGTGAAACTTTTGCCATCTAACTGAGTAAGTTGCAAATCACGCATTTCATCTCATATCTACCAACTATAAATCACCCAGTACACAGATCATTTTACTGAAAGTCAGCTGCAATACCTCTGTCAAGTTTGTTAATACAGGACATGACATCTGATGAATGCAAAGTAACCAGCCATGATCAGTTGACAATTAGGAAAATAAACACGTTGTTTCTAAAATTCCCTGTGAACGTGAAAGTAAGACACCTATGCAATAACTTGACATAACTTTAAGTCAAGTATTATGAGTGCAAAGTATATTATCACATGACCAGCAGAGAAATAAAAGTATTGTCCCCTAGGTAGTGCCCTGGAATTTTTAATCTTTTATTTAAAACACTATATATATATTTTTTTTGTGCCACGTAAAACATCCGGATGTCTGTCTTATTGATTGCCGAAAGTCAAATAATGCAACATCTTTTGCTGATCCTCTTCAAAAGTTCCCCTTTATACAAATAAAACTAAGCAAAAGTAAATCTATGCATGACAAAATAGTTGAGTATGAATGATTTTGCTGTCCGCCACCCCCGAAAAAAATATTAACTGATTCCCGGACTAAGAGGAATGATTTAGTTGTGTTCTGTGAGCTAAGTAGTTTAATTGCGAAGCTTTCGTTGTCCTTCTAGACAACATCTTCAGCGCAGGGTTTAGTATGAAATCATTCTATTTGAATTTTCCATGAATGATGGTATACTTGTATCTCCTGACAGCTAACGTCGTGAATGGTTGTTAATCTTTATCTCTCTTGATAAGTTTTATTGACTTGGAATTTGAACTTTCTTCTTGTCATGTGATTTATTTTTTATTAATTGGTAAATATGGCCTATAGTAATGCGGTTTTTAATCGTTGATATCATTTTATACAACAAATCTGGTGTTTGTTTCTTTATCGAAATTCATGATTCATTTAAAAAACACCAGGCTTCTAGAAGTTCCATGAAGGAAACTTCTAGAGAAAACAGAGGTGATGAAGATTCCTCCGCAACACCAACAGCAGCAACAACAACAGACAACAATCAGCATAAATAGGAGGAACCTGAAAGAAACAGCCTCATTCACCTACCTGGGAAGCATCGTTTCAACTACAGGCGGACGGAACTAACGAGGATATCAAAGCAAGGATTGGGAAAGCAAGACAAGCTTTCATTACTCTGAAGTTTGTGTGGAGGACAACAGCACTCAACATGAGAGCAAAAATGAGATCCGGATTTTCAACTCCAATGTAAAGTCAGTGCTACTATACGGATCAGAGGTTTGGCGCATCATAATGAGCACATCAAACAAACTACAGACCTTTCATCAACAGCTGTCTTCGCTCAACACTCAAGATCAGATAGCCAGAAAAGATCAGCAATGGTGAAGGATCTCTGAGAGCAAACCAGCCAGGACCGATTGTGCAACAAATAAGCAGGAAGAAATGGAGATGGATTGGCCATACTCTGAGGAAACCATCAAGTGACATCACTAGACAAGCCCTCGAGTGGAACCCGAAAGGGAAGCGGCGAGTTGGTCGTCAGTGCAAGGCTGACTTGGATGAGGTCATGTGAAGAGGAGATGAAAGCATGTGGTCAGACTTGGAGTCAGGTGAAAACTCTAGCAGAGAACCGAACGCGATAGAGACGCGTGGCTGAAGCCCTATGTTTCTCTAGGAATTAAAGGAAACTAATAATATAATAATCTAGAAGTTCACTGGCATTATTTGGTCTTTCCTCTATCTAAGACTTCTACATTATCCCAATCAAATTGATATCTGTGATTGTATACATGATTTAATATGAAAGAATACATGTCATACCTTTTCAAAGGTGAATAATTTTCTTGGATTCGGACACGAAGGGTACACCCACTTCGACCGGTTTGGTGTCCATGCACGCAGCTCATGTACTTTGTTTTGTAAATTGTAATGACCTTATCTTCTTTAATTGTTGGATCCTTTAATCTGCACAATATTGACTGAAGTGATTTTGTTGGCTTGTCTGCTATGCGTCTTTCAAATGGTATTATTATTCTAGCTGATATTTCAGAGATATTTTCTGTATATAGTAGGATGAATTTTCTTGTAGTCTTTGATGATGGTTTCTTGTGACTCGATTTTAAACACTTTTTGATGGAACTGTGTGGGTATTCATTCTTTTTGAAGGCAGTCAGTAAGTATTTCTCTTCCATTCTCTTCAGCACTGTAGTACTACAGTGTGTTTGAACTCTTATAAACAATTTCTGTAAACAGTTTCTGTTGAGAGTGATCAGGTTGTTACTAATATAGTCGTGTATTTGGTCAGTGTGCGTTGATTTTCCACATACGTATGTTTCTATATTTCCAGTGTTAGTTCTCTTGATTCCGTTGTCCAATTATTCTTCTCTTGTGAATTTAATGTCTTCAAATATTTGTAAAAAATTATAATTGTAAAATCTCAGAGATATTGAAATGATTAATTCCAACGTTTCGTTCGCCAATCTGGTCCGATCTTCTTCAGGGAAATTAATCGAAATTAACATAACAGAGGTTTATATATAAAAGGAACATCTCCTGTTTTTAAAAACTTTGTCCAATCATGAGTCATAAAACAGGCATCAACATGTGCAATAAACAAAATTGTATTAGTTGTGATCAAAATTTGACCTCAGACTTACAAATATTGTTGTCGATTAATTTGTGGGTGTATTCCAAATCACATTTCTTTTAACTATTACAAATGTATCATAAAATTAACGTGCCCAAAGTTTTGGTTTAATCATAGGTAGGGCTATTAATTCTAATCTTTGCATAACGACTTCAGCGCTATTAATCCTGATATGGGTGATCCCATTGGTGTTCCTCCTCACTGTTTGAATTAGAAACATTTCGTAAAACATAATTCTATGAGTTCCATTTGAGCTGAACATTGTGATTTTTTGTGTTCATCACTATAGAGTAGTTGCTGTATTAATTCTTTTGCTTGTTTTGAACCCATTAAAGTACATAATGCTGTAACATCAAAGAATATCATTATTTCATTGTCATCTACTTGAATGTTTTTGATTTTTCCAAAAATATGACTGGAAAATCGATAGAATAGTCGAATGATCCTGCTAAATATTTTACTTTTCCCTAAACTTTTCGCAGATAGATCATGTATTGGTGTTCCTGGTAGTGAAACGATTGGTTGTAAGGGAATGTCTAGTTTGTGTAGTTTTACTTCACCGTAAAATTGAAGTAAAACAGGTCCGTCAGATTCCATTTGGACAAGTCACTATAGTTTTTAATTCTCTTTTCATATGATCTTCTCCATACCACCTCGATACGTCCAACTTACCACCCGCTGCTCTTCCGAGTTCCTCTTGACAGCCTTCCTGGAATGTGATATCTCTTGAATGTCTTATCAGTGTGTGCTCAGTTCATTTGTGTTTCACGTTATATATTTTTTGGATAATCGATTCTTGGTTAGTTTGCTGCCTGCCAGATATCCCTTGACCAAATTTACTATAATACTTAATAAATAGTTGATGTAACATGACTCAATTTTTCATCTGACGTTCCGATGTCGATTGTGACAGATGTTTGCTCCCCTAACATATTTTTCCAATGTACGAGTCACTATCACTGCAAAGTATCGTAATGGCACGTGGTCGGTGGTGGTTAGTAAGATTCCTATTTAAGATCAGTCATTTCTACGTACCTACATCTCTACCAGGCGACAGTATTCCACAGACATCTAACATTTCGATTCAATATAATCAGTCAGCTGGAATCAGAGAATAACAAAAACATGTAATATGATATACTTTTTGGTATAAATTAGAAGTGGAGATTTTAATTGTGAAAGAAATCTTCTATGCAGCTCAGAGACTTGAAAGCATTTTCAACAGGCTACTCCATGCTTTCATCAACAGCTATCCTGTCTTCAAACTGAAGATAAGATGGCAGGTCAGAAAGGCATCCAAACAAGGGCTTGGTAACCAACAAATATAGTGAAAGAAATGGAAACGAGTAGAACATCATACTTTGAGAAGACCACCACTAAGTGACATCTAGTTGCAGGCCTTTATGTGGAAATCGAATAAGAAACGACAAGATGAGCATCTCAGCGTGAGATGGAGAAGACCATGTGTGCAGGACACGTGATCGTGCGAGAAGTCGTGGCGCCAATTACAGAAGACTGAGGAGAAAAGGATGAAATGTGAGTTCCTTCTTAAAGCCCATTCATTATTCGACTCGGAACCCAAGAAAATAGTCATCATCATCATCATCATCATCATCATAACAACAACACATTTTGATTTTGTTGCCTAAAACTATATTTTTTTAATGTAACATCATTTTTCCCTTACTTTTACAGGATTTATTAGTCAGTCGATAAATACAACCGGAAAATTCAAAATACATGTCAATGTCTGAGGAATCACCGATCACTCACAAAATTGTCACGGAATATGGTTGTGTGAAGAGTGATAGCAAACTTGACCAGTACATAGTTGATCATTCATTACGTCTATCAGAAGCACAAAAATGGATATTGAAGGTTAGTCAGTTAGTCTATTTTTCTTTATACATTATTATAATTTTTTTATTTACTAGAAGACAAAAGATGACCCAAGGCATATTATTTAATGTCAAGTATAGAAATGCAATTGTTGGCGAACTTGTGTTATGCAATCAATGCTAAGAAGACGTTGGATGTCGGTAAGTACCATACCTTACAATAGGATTGACATATTCGACAAAAACATCGCTCCCAACAATTTGTGTGAAATAATTTCTGTTTATTAGATGGTTGGAGGCCATTGGCCACAGAAAGCCTTGGACCAAGGTTTCGTACCAGTTGGCACTCATCAGAAAGGCGTATCTGCAACCTTGAAGGAACTCATGTCCTTTCTGAGATTCGGACAAGCGTCACCCAGTAGTGCATTCAGAGACATTACCACTGAGCTATTCGGGCTCGCGATTGACTTCCTGTAGGACTGACTACTGTCCAATCAAAAATATTGAATACAATCCTACAGGAGGTTAGTCACGAGCCTGATTAGCTTAGTGGTAACGTCTCTGACTGCAGAGTTCACTGGGTGACGCGGGTTCGAATCTCAGAAGGGACATGAGTTCCCTCGAGGTTTCAGATACACCTTGCTGACTGGTGAGTGCCAACTAGCACAAAACCTAGGTCAAGCAAGGCTTCCTGTGGCCGATGTCTCCAACCATCTAATACCAACAATTCACAGTGCACAACGACGGCGAGCCACCTAATGGTGTGGTGGCCATATTGCAAACTTGACTAGTGAAATTCAGTCTGCACCGAAGATAGAACTAGACACATTACACTAGTTACTGACTAATAATAATAATAATATTTACTAATATTTAAATCTCCACCTGTGTTTCATAATCATAACTTTGATCAGTGCAGTTTGTTGTTGTTATTCTTGTGTGTAAGCAAACATTTTGATGATATATTAGAAATCACTCAAGAAGTTTCTGAAGTATACTTCTAGACGGCATAAGATATTGTGAATTTTCAAGTGTGAAATGAAATCATAATGGTAAACAGCATGAAAAGACTCTGTTGGCTTTTCAAAGCAACTAACAGAAAGATTCTAGTAGAAGGTGGTAGCTGGTTGCATCCACCCGGTCGGCTGTGAGGACAAATATTCGCCAGAGATGACATTGGCTAGTTGCAGCAACGCTATATTTCGAAATGGTAGAAGTTGGAACTCATGCACTGGCCAATGGATCAGATCCCAATGGTTGAATGGTTTACGAACCCGTGGAAGGTTCTAGGTTTGAACCATGAGTACTGATGAAGAACCCCAAACCAGAACCAAACATATGTTCAATACTCCCTATCTGGTTTTCCCGGTAATTGTCTAACCGATGTCAGCTCATGATGAAATCCTGTAAAAGAAAGGTACGAAAAAGAAATAAATCTATCGACTTTTAGAATGTATAAAGGAGTTGATTCAGATGACTTTCTTATTTAAAGAAACTTTAGTTTAAAATATTTCGACATATATATGTATGATTAATGTAGTTCACTTGTGCCAGCGATTCAGGAGTGTAAATCACTACTGTTATACACTTTTCCTAAATAAATCAATGAGATTAAACATTTCGTCAAAAAGTGGTATCATTGAAAATCCATCTGAATTTTTCAGTTTCCATCAGAAAACCATAAAGAAACCACGACAAAAAGGGAATCAAGGAGAGATTTAGTTTACTGCAGCAATCCTTAGTCAATTTAGCTATTCAACTGGATTGTAACTTTTGTCATTTATATTGAAGAGTCTCAAAATAGGACGAAACAACCCTCCATTTCTCTTTGGTTTTTAGTGATTCTCTAACCGACACTGATTTTTGATGAAATCTACACTGAAGTGCTCATTGTCCTAATTAAGCCCAAAAATTTGAACAAAAATGAGTAAAATCAAATGCATTCACTACATTACTGCAAAAAGTTTGGAAAGAAGGAAAGGTGCTTACTGATTGGAAGAAGGGCTACATCGTCAAACTGCCAAAGAAGGACTTCTTAGGCCCGTGAGAGAACTTGTGTGGAATAATGCTCCTGTCCACACCAAGTAACAGACTAAGTCGCATCATCCTGAGGAGAATAAAGGATGCGCTGGATACAGAACTCCGCCAGTCAAGGACAAGCTGAATTCAGGAAAGGCAAGTCATGTGCTGATTAAATTGCAACTCTACGCATCATCATCATCATCATCACATAACAGAGAATAGAAGGACAGTGAAGCTTGTTTCTACCTCAGCTTCATTGACTTCGAAGAGGCCTTCGACAGACAGCGTTGACCACAAAGTGATTCGGAAACCACTTCAACACTATGAAGTGAAGTGCCCCAAGTATTTAACAACCTCATTCAACAGCTGGCTACATGACGATGTCACCTGTCAGGCGATCCACAATGGAGAACTCAGCGAGGCGTTCGAAGTACATACAGGAGTAAGACAAGCTAGCTGCCTACTATCACCGATGTTATTCTTAAATGTGGTGGACTGGATTATGTGTCAGACTGACTGTTGGGGGTGAGGAGTCAGGAATACGCTGAACCAGACCACAGATAAGAAAATTCTGTAAGATCTGGATTTCACAGATGATATATGTCTGATGTAACACAAACGCGAAGACTTGCAAGAGAAAACCAACAAACTGGCTGAAGAACCAGAAGACTGGCAGCGAAAACAGGACTGCAGGTGAACACAGAGAGGACGGACGAAGGTGATGAAGATAACCAATAAACAGCAACAACAACAACAACAACTAGCACCAATCACCATCAACAAAGGAGAGATTTAAGACAGGTTATTTCCTTCACTTATCTAGGCAGCCAGCATTGTTTCAACTAAGGCAAGCGGAACGCATGAAGATGTCAAAGCCAGTCAGAATTAGAAAGGTAGCAGCATACGCCTTCATCAACCTGAAACCAGTTTGGAAATCTTCCGCCCTCAGCCGCCTAAAGAACAAGATTAGCATTTTCAACACCAATGTGAAGCTGTTCAGTGCTTCTATACGGGTGACAAACTTGCACTGCGTGTCACGAAAAGGATTTCCAAGACAGGTTGCAGACTTTCATCAACAGCTGCCTTCGCATCATACTGAAGATCTAGTAGCCAGGCCTCCAAAGCCTCAGGATGGTCGGGGGTGGGTGTCTTGCGCTGCGGGTCGGCCACCTCTCCGTACACCTCTTGAAATGCTCCCATATGACCGGGTATCTTACATAGCCTCTCCTGAGGAAGTCCTACTCACTGCCTTCACGTGGCGGAGGTGTTTTTCACCAAAGTGAGAGGGCAAAAGCGGATGCCCGGCGCTCTTCACCGGGTTGACTGTCCATTGGATGACAGTCTAGGGGAGATGGCTAAACCCTGATTCCAAACCTCCAACGACTGGCGTATGAAGCTCACCGGAGCTCACCGGCAGACGTATGGACAAAGGGCTTATTGGATGCCCTGGATGACTGGCCCCATTCAAAAAGGTGAATGAACCGGACTCCGGTCACCGGATGCCAATAGATAGTGGACTCCCTACTCCACTCCTACTGCCTTGTAGGTCACACTTGGTTGTGTAAAGGCTAGAGCTGCACTCTCAAACAAAAGGCCGAGCGATGCTGGGGACATCACTCGTACCCAATTCCCATGAAACTTCATGGTTCATCAAGCCGGCTCATCCTCCCGTAGGAGATAGCCGAAGTAAAGTAAAGTAAGTAAGAAACAATAAGCAACAGGAAACTATGGGAACAAATCAACCAAGAGCCGATCGCTCAACAAATATATAACAAATATCTAACTGATGTCAGCTCATGATTAAATCCTCCATGCAATCAAACAAAATCCCTACAAAAACCAATACTTGAAAATTAATCTGTGCTCACTAGTGACTGGCCCTATTCAGGCAGTTAACCTGGGGTTCTAGTGGGAGGCCGTAACCAGTAGGGTACAGCAGGTTGAAGATGAGGCAGTAACTCATCGAAGAAGACATTGGGAAATGGTCGCGCTATGTCGTGAATTGGCAGAAGTTAGAATTCAAGGACCATTGGATAGGGTCCCAGTGGATCAATGGTCTACGAGCTCGCCTTGTAACCAGAAGGTCCTGGGTTCGAACCCTGGCGGTGGGTGCGTACTGATGAAGAGTCCCAAACTAGAACGAAACAGCTGTCCAGTACTCCCAGGTTTTCCAGTGGTTCTCTAACTGATGTCAGCTCATGATTAAATCCTCCATGAAATATATAGAAGAAAATGGAGATAGATCTGGCATACATTGAGGAAGCCGCCGAATAACATCTCGAGTGAAATCCAAATGGGAAGTGACAAGTGTCTCGTCCTAGGGTGACATGAAGGAAATCGAGTTAGGAGGGGGAAGAGATGAGAGAGTTTGTTCACTCGTGAACCCAACTGAAGAGAGAACGGCAGAAAACAGAACAAGGTGGAGATATGTTGTTGAAGCCCTATGTACCACTCGGAACGCAAGGGAATAATAATAATAATAATATCTTGACTTTTCTAATAGGAACAATTTAGTAATTTGAATCAACAAAGTCATCCGATTTGTAGTAGTTTTCAACATAGGGTGAATTTGTGATTCGTTAAAGTCAAAGATTTCTGAGTTGTTTTTCTTGTGAACTTGAGATGTTGAAGGGTAGTCAACACTCTTACTTCATAGATGAGGCTTGAAATTATTGATTACAATCAATCAATCTTCGAAAATACATTGGAGGTTCTCCTTCGAATTTCAACTTTAAGAATGATTCAATGTCCAGTAGAAAGCATCGTATCGGTCAATTAATTCACCTGTTCTTACTTCTGTCAAAATACAAGATTTTCTAGTATTGGTTTGTAGGGATTTGGTTGATTGGTTACAGGATTTCATCATGAGCTGACGTCGGTTAAAGAACCACTGGAAAACTTGCAGGGAGTACTGGACAGCTTTTTTGTCCTAGTTTAGGATTCTTGATCAGTACGAGACCACTGGGGTTCGAACGCAGAACCTTCTGGTTACAAGGCGACCTCGTATACCATTAAGGCACTGGGACTCTATCCAACAGCCCATGAATTCTAAATTCTGTCAATTCACGACATAGCGCGACCCCTAGCCAATGTCTTCGGCAAGCATTTGCCCCCACAACCGACCTGCTGCATCCTTCATGGGCCACTGGATCGAGTCTCAGTGGCATAATGGTATACGAGCTCGCCTTGTAACCAAAAGGTCCTGCGTTCGAACCTCAGTGGGTGCGTACTGTTGAAGAGTCCCAAACTAGGAGGAAACAGTTGTCCAGTACTCCCTGGCCAGTTTTCGAATGGTTCTCTAACCAATGTCAGCTTATGATGAAATCCTGTAAACAAGATTTTCTCTACTGATTTCCACTATTCTTCAGTTTAACTTTCATTAGACTTCTATTGTACTACTAATCTCGCAATAATTATGTGATAATTTCTTATTTATTACATTCGATCAATTCCTAAATCCCCAATTTATTGATGATTTTTCTAGCCATTTTGTTTTTTATTCTTCTTTTTCCACAGGAGTTTATACTGGATACAGTGTATTAACCATTGCAGAAGCTCTACCTTCCGATGGATGTGTAGTCGCGTTGGATATAACAGACACTTACCTACAAGATTATTGTATACCAGCATGGAAACAAGCTGGTGTAGAGAAGAAAATTGATTTCCGTTTGGGTACAGCTGTTGATATATTAGGTGAGTGTGGAGAACTGTAACTCGTAATTTGCTTCTTTAAATATGCTTTTTAGCTAAAAGAGTCTTTAAATCCTTAATAAAATTAAACAACTAATTAATAGATTGACCGCATCTTGTTAAGTGTTAACATGAAAATGATGAACACCAGAAATGAGATTTCAGGTGTCTCTGATCATTTGGTTTTTAAACGTCTATGTCAGCTGAATTCACAACCAGTTCACTAACTATATACCTCGTCTTGATGATAGTAATCCAAAGGAAATCGGATAGGTTGAGTGTGAGGCTGGAAAATCGCATGCCATGAAAGAAGGCAAAGTCACCAGTACTCAGACTTCAGAACTTGAAGCTTGTAGTCCAAGATTCCATTTGGAACACTTCAAGGAATAAAAACCGTTTCCGCTGAAAAGTAAGAATTCCAAGTGTGCTGGAGAAAAAAAGTGATTCTACATTTAGTGTTATTAATCCACTTTTCTACTTTCAATAGTGTTGTGCAAAAACAGATGGTAAACAAATAAAGAATTAGGGAAGATTAAGTTATCAATGTAAAGAAAGGAATGATCACTAAGAAAGTGTAAACATTTAACACTTGTTTAGGTGACTTTTAAATAAAACACATATTAACGAAATTCCAATATAGATAAGATTTTATTTTCATAAATCACAGTGTTATACAGTAATGTTAACTGATGACCACGTTTCGAGCACAAATTATTGCCACTCATAATCATATCAAGTCACTCACACAACTTTCTTCCTTCATTTATATACATGAGTGGAATTGGTTAGACATTTGAATAAAAATCAATATAAGATTAAGAACATTCAGAAATAATACTAGAGTTATCGATAAAATACAGTAAGATGGGAAATAAGATGTTTTTATGGTCAAAATAAGGAGGGTACATCTGAAGCCCTAAGTAGGATTCTTAATACAGCAGGAATTACTGCGTCATTTAAACCTACAAACTCACTCAGGGACAAGCTGTGTGGATTAAAGGATCCTGTGCGTTGACCCAATTAGACGAAATAATATAATTGACAAAATACTCTGCAATGACTGTGAATTAGGTCAGCTACAAACGTCAGACTAGTAGGTCAGGGATAGTCAGATTATGAGAACATAAGAATTTAGCCAAGGTAAGAATGGTTGACCCCAAGAAGATAAGTAGTTTAGAAAAAAGCTCAGCGATTGCACTGCATTCATGAACAATGCACAAAAGTTCTTTGAACTGATTTTCTCACCTTCTTCGTAATTATTTCGCTGGGTATATCGTTCTTGAATTGCAGTCGTATTTATAAAGGCTTCTTATTTACGGATTATGAATAGTCCTATTCAAATTTCTTAGTCATATGTTTGCTGATAAATTTGTCGGGATAGCTATTTTCGATCAAAGGATCATATACAATGCTTAATTCATTTTCAACTACTTCTTCTGAGCATATAGCTTTAACCCTGTGTCTGAGGGTCCTTACTAAATTTCTTTTGTACTAGAGAGGAACTAAGCTGTGAGAATGTGTATATTTTCCTGTCCATGTGCTTTTCCTATACAAATTTCTCTCTATACTACCATCTGGTTTTCTTGTAAAGAGGACATCCAGGAAGGTAATTCTGTTTGGGGATTCCTCTTCATCCGTGAAGTTCAGAGCAGAATATACTTCATTGAACTGAATTATTATTGTGTTTCTGTCTGATACATTACCACAGAGAATAAAGGCATCTTCCATATACTGGGAATGAAATGAGAAATTTCCAACAGGGTTGTTCAAATTACGATTCTCCTGTTTGCATAGAAAGAAATCTGCAAACATTAGACCCAATGGGATCCGTGTTAGAACACTTGGTTTAAACTGGCCACAAAGCCTTTATTGTAGAGTACTTCTGCATCATTATATATCGGGTACCAAACAAACTGTCAAAAGTTGTGTATATCAGAGAAGAGCTTGATGAAGTCTCATTGAAAACAGCATTGCTCGCATAGATATTCATCACCAGAAATTACAGGATTGAGAATGAAACTGCCTGAAATAGTCGTCGTTTGGCAAACTGCACATTTGAATGAGAATCTTGGTTGTGTAGAGATTTTAAATATATGAAACATAGGGGCTAATCAGATCATCATTCCTATGATATCATCATAAGATATAGTTATCCGCCAAGGCAAGGTTATCTTAGACAGTTTCACAATTCATAAAAAACCTAACATCCTTGCTTCCTTCTTTTGATTCACTGTGGTTAGGATTAACAAAAGAAGGAAGCCTAGATGGGTAGAGAGTATGATGGCGATCAGACAGCAAGGCGCCATTCCTGCATCAAATAACAGCTGCCTATCACACGTCATCATTTTGTCCTAACTGAGTAGCTCAGTCTCGGAAATCAAATAGTAGTTCACTGGACCACTATCTCGTAGGGCATTAGTCCAAATCATACTACTGACAAGATTTTCATTCCACCTGTAGTCATCACCCATTTAATACTTTTCAGGAACTATTCTTTAACAGATTCATCTGTACTGTATACATCTTTGGATCGTCGAAAGTGACATAATTGAGAGAATAACTTCATCATCTACACAATTATCAACATAGGGTAATGGGTGGAGGAATAAATTGACACTGTAGGGCATCACTTCAAACTGTGATATAATCTAGGGTAGACAAGATAGGAAGACAAGATAAGTAGGTGTAATTGTACTACAATGTGCACATTGAAAGTTGACGTATATAAGAGCTAAGCTATTTAGGAGATGGCTGTAACTTCGTGAATACAAAGAAAGACGTTATAACTGGCTGTGAGATATTCCACTGTGTTTTCAGTTAAGTTGTAAATATCAGGAGAAGTTTCCTGTGTAAATGAGACCAGTAATATAACCGTGCTGTAAAAGTGTACATATTCCTCAGGCTGAAGCAAAATGGTATCCATTCGAAACATAATTGAAGTAAACATATCGTTTAAAGAAAGAGAACCGGACATTGTTATCATCAAAAGTACTTAGTTAATTTGTGAATCCTTCTCATCATCATATAAAAGGCAAGTTTGATGACATTAACGACATCCAGCACTATGTTGAGGAAGATTCAGTTTGTATATTTTTCCCTTATCAATGCTTCATTACTAAGTGCCGATTTGGAAAGGTCCAGTCAGTGCTATCGCTATCGCAAAATATGTACACAGAAATGGTGTGGATTCATTGGGGGCACTGACTAGTACAATCTTGTAAGACTAACCTTGATAAGGCCAGTTTTTAAAGCCACATCCTCAGGTGGGCGCGGAAGCCTCATTTGGAAGTTTTGCTATCTAGGTAACCGTATTTTCGCGAATATCTCAAACATAAGTAGGTAATAATGACAGGGAAGTGCTCATGTTTGAATACAATGCTATCGTTAACACCTCACCTCTTAAATAATTCCTCCGGAAAACCATTGAATGGTCCTACTCTTCAGATCATTCTAATATTCCCTTCAGGTTAACCCTAATTCAGTTAAAAATCGTCAGCCACGACAGATGATACATGGGTCTAAATAACCTAATTTTCCAATTGAATCAGCAATTTTGGGCATATGACACCGTCTATTATCTTTTTCTTAATAGGTTACCAGTCTGTCAGCTTATTTCATATCAATTTCTGTGTGACCTTACTCAACACAGTGCAAATATGGAAAACACGTCCGGTAGAAGTGCTTAATGTTGGGATTTCTATACCACATTGTCAATACTGTGTGACACAAGCCAACGGCAATTTTCACTTGTATTCTTATTATTATTATTATTATTGCCCTAGCTGTTATCATTATTATTGCTATTTCCATTTTATATGCTGCATGTTTCTAATACTACCTCTATTGTAAATGTGGAAAAATTTTCTGTGTGATTAATTTTTATTTATAATTTGAGGAAACTAGATGCAATATTGTGATTAATGCTCAAAATTCCATTCTGTGTTACAAGTACTGTTTTTGGAATAAAGTAAATCATCATTATTATCCAGTTTCACTCAGACCTGGAAATCTCAGAGCCTTATGACTTTTAATTTATCAAGGTGACAGGTCTTTACTTCATACATGAATCGATAGGTTATACAGGTTTGTGTGTATAACATCCAGACACAAAATCCAGACACACAATTTGTTCACTAGGTGAATCATCGTGATCTAATTATGGTTTTTATTATATTTCAGACAATGATAGAATCATTATACTTTCGCTAATAATAATAATGTCTGGATAAATATAAAGGGTGAATGGTATCTATACTCTAATTAAGATGTTTTCTCTTGTATGTCTGAATTCTGGATGAAATTTTGTTTTCTGTCTAGGCCATTCCAAGTGTAGGGCACCTGAGACTTTACAGAAATTATTTTGATATGTTATCACTTAACGGTTTGACTATCTCTGAGCTCGCACAATGTACTTGGCATTTTCGATAATCACCACTCAAGGTATTCGTTTCCTCTGATACATATCGACGAGACCAGGTGTAGTTACATTGCTTGAAGAATTGTGAGATTGTTGACTCAGTGACACGACACTTATGAACTGATTCATAACTGCATATTTCTGATGGAGTTATGTTTCACCCACACACGCACACACACGCAGCTGATATCACTAGACTGACACTCCTTGACCGCTTCGCCAGACTGTCTCCAACATCACTTGACAAATTATTCCTGCTCAAAGTTGTATTTAGAAATATCCAGATTACTCAGAGCATATAACAACACACTAACTAAATTCGATGCAACCACCAAATGCGGTGGTACCTCAAAACTACAATTTGTCCGTGTCTTCTGTATCAGTAGACAAAGATGAATTCATGGCTGATGGATAAATGCACCTACCTCAGTTATCTCGAAGAATTTCTGTAATCCCCTACACACCAATACATACTTGTCCAGTTTCACAGTCAATAATTTGTCCCATCAGTTTTTAATTTGTTTTCCTTCCAGTCAACTTTCAATCATTTTTTTCACCCTCTTTAGAAAAACTCATCGCTAATGGAGAAAGTGGAACATTCGATTTCGCCTTCATTGATGCTGACAAAGAAAATTACAGTAATTATTACCAGTTGTGCTTACAGCTGATTCGACCACGTGGGATTATCGCTATTGACAATGTGAGTTTGAATTGCTACTACTCAGAGCATTTGATTATCTAGGTGGTATTATGATCGCATTTTGCTCCATGATCCTGTTCAATAGAGTTTGAGAAAGTTTTGAATCACCCTTGTGTAGTTTGTTAGTGGAATAATAAGGATTTGAAAATCGGCGCATGGCGAGCAAAGAGGTCAACTAAATTATCCACAAAAGGTCACTTACAAAACGCCAATAATTATAATAATGATTTGCTTTATTCCAATGTAGTACTTATGATACAGTGTTGAATTCTCAGCACTTTGCACAATATTCCACCCAATTTACTAGACAACAACAAAAACAAAAATTTTTAATACAGGGTATAGGTAACCAGAATTGGTGATAGCAGGTTTTTGCTATAAACAGTGACAATAAAGTCAGAATGTACTGAAAGTGTAAAACAGTTGTAATAATGTTGATAGCTAAAATGTTGAGGTGATTGAAACAGTGCTGACATAGAGTACAAATAAGGGAGGATAAAAGAGCCAATTATTTTCCTCATTATACGGTAAGTTATACGTTTCACGTTCAACATTATCTATATCACACATGTAGTGCAGGCCAAACAGGGTATTGACGAGTTTCTGTACTTGGGTGTATGAGGACACATCACGGATAATGAGTTCTAGTCCTACCTGATGAGATGGAAGGTGGGAGAGAGTTGTGGATGTAGAGGGTGTTGAGAGTCATACAGAGTATGGATTTGGACCATTTATCACATGAGTGAGATCAGCTATCTGTCTGCCACAATAGTAACATACCACTCGCCCTTCTGACAACCTTTAGTGCTTCTCACAATACGATATATTCGTTTTCGAGTAGCCCAGAAAAGATTAAGGCGGGACGATGGGTGACAAAGAACAGTAGGTACGATAGAGAAGTTAACATATTGACACACCAGAAGTTGAGTGATTTCTGATTGTCTTACTTTCTTAATGCAGTTGGTTACACGGAACGTTTCCTTAGAATTCGACAAGATAAGAGATGATGAAGAAAGGCCAGAGAAAAGAAATATTTGAAGGTGTTTTATGTTTGACTTAGTTTCTATTTCAGTGGAAAGATTGGTGCTACTAACACCACCCTCAACACTACTTCACCTAATTTATTGATCTATTAATGGGTCAATCCTTGAGATAATCCAATAGGAGGCTGACCATGACACAAGCTCACAGCACCCGTCTGAATTTCATTGGTCTCAGTTCGGAGTCCATTGCAGAAATTACACTGCAAAGAACAGACACTACACATAACCTCAGTTCATAGAGATAAGAAGTGATGATCTGGAATGAAGCATTGACCAAGACGACCGTGTGTATTTCAGTTGAAGCAGTTAACTGTTTCCTCTGAAACTCAATCTTATGTAACAGTAAATCAGTCATTCATATGATTAAAATAGATGCAATCGGATCCCCGCCGCGAGATTTCAATATATTTAATATTCCCATAGTAAAATTTAGAACAACACATTTAAGCGAACAATATTGTTTTCAATTAGATCTCATCAGGCTTAACTCTAATATATATAAGTTTACAAATAAAAATTCATATATAAACCAATCATGGTGTTTTGTCTATAGGATAATACGATGGTGAATACAAATTGTGCAGTTAGTCATAATAGTGGTAATGATAATATTACTAATAGTAATAATACCAACGGCAACGAAAGCCCTGATGCAATGGGAGGCGATTTCGTCCAGGATAATGACCGCCAGATTCAACTCCAAAGGAAGGAAAGTGTCAATCATACAATGTTATGCACCCACAAACAACGCAGACCTCGAAAAGAAAGAAGAATTCTACAGGCAACTACAGGCAACAATGGACAATACTCCAGCTGGCGACATGAAAATACTAATGGGAGACATGAACGCTAAACTGGGACCAGACAACACAGGAAGGGAACTCATCATGGGTAGAGAAGCTCTAGGAGAAATGAATGAAAATGGAGAACTCTTCGCCGACTTCTGCGCCTTCAACGAACTAGTGATTGGTGGCAGTGTATACAAGCACAAAGATACCCACAAGGCTACATGGGTGTCACCAGACGGGCAAACCAAAAACCAAATCGACTTCATCTCAATGGTGATCAAGAGAGTGGAGGCGCAGCCTACTGGAGATAAAAGTCAGAAGAGGAGCAGACGTTGGCTCAGCCCACTATCTCGTACAAGGGACAATCCAAATCAAATTAAAAGCTTTCAGGGAAAGAGGAGCTGCAGATAGACCACAGGCCAAGTTCAATACTCAAAAACTGGAGGACCAGGCTACAAAGGACATCTTCATTGCAAACATAAGGGAAAAAAGCCGAGACACAAATCAACAGCAGTGAAAAGGTCAGCGTCGAAAAGTACTGAGACAACTTGAAAACGGTGTGGAGTCAAACCTGCATGGAGGTTCTAGGCAGAAAGAAGAGACAGGACAAACAGTGGCTCACTACGGACGCTTGGAAACTAATAGAAGAGAGAAGGACAGTGAAACAAAAGATTATCCAGTGCACTGACGAGCAACAAAAACAGGAGCTGAATGCAAGCTACAATACACTGAACAAAAGAGTGGAGAAGAGTGCCAGGAAAGACAAAAGAAAATATTATGAAACCATGGAAAGTGAAGCAGAACAAGCTGCAGGCAAAGGAGACCTCGCCACACTCTACCAAACAACTAGGCACCTATCCGGCAAAAGTTCGACACAGATTAAGGCAGTAAAGGATGACAATGGAAAGTCAATCACCAAAGAGGTGGAACAAAGAAAACACTGGGCTGAACACTTCAAAAGACTTCTAAATCGACCGCCACCTACAACACGCCCAACAATACCAACAACGGAAGCAGAACTACCAGTGAACATTGGATCCCTGATGAAATCAGAAGTACTGAATGCCATCAAGATGCTAAAAGCTGGGAAAGCACCAGGACCAGATGGAATCCCAGCAGAAGCTTTGAAAATAGACCCAGAGACAACAGCGGACTTGATGACACCACTGCTGGAGAAGGTGTGGAAAGAGGGTAAAGTACCCGAGGATTGGAAGAACGGATACTTATTCAAACTACCAAAGAAAGGAGACTTAAGTCAATGTAATAACTGGCGTGGAATTATGCTTCTGTCCATTCCAAGCAAGATACTAAGTCGCATCATCCTGGAGAGAATCAAACAAGCCCTGGATGAAAAACTTCGTCCGGAACAGGCTGGATTCAGGAGAAACAAGTCATGTATTGATCAAATCGCCGCACTACGGATCATCATTGAACAAAGCTTGGAATGGCAGTCACCTCTCTATCTCAACTTCATCGACTTTGAAAAGGCCTTCGACAGCCGTCGATCGAGAGGTGATTTGGCAACTAATTCGCTACTGTGGGGTGCCGTCGACAATTATACATCTCATCCAACAGTTATTCGACAATGGTGCATGCCAAGTAATCCACAACGGGAAACTTACGGAATACTTCGAAGTGAGGACGGGAATGAGACAAGGCTGTCTACTATCACCAATGATCTTCCTGATTGCAATTGATTGGATAATGCGACAGACAACGGCAACCAACGAGGGAACAGGCATAAAATGGACTGACAAAAAAGACTTGGAGGATCTGGATTTCGCCGATGATATATGTCTGATTTCGCATAAACTGGAAGATATGCAAGTGAAAAGTAACAAGTTGGCAGAAGAAGCATCAAAGATAGGACTTCAAGTGAACATAGAGATAACAGAGGTGATGAAGATTCCTAGCCAATATCAACAGCAACAACAGCAACAGACAGCAATCAGCATAAGTGGGAAGAACCTGATAGAAACAACCTCCTTCACTTACCTGGGAAGCGTCGTCTCAACTACAGGCGGAACTGACGAGGATATCAAAGCCAGAATCGGAAAAGCAAGACAAGCTTTTAATACTCTCAAATCTGTGTGGAGGTCAACAGCACTCAGCATGAAAAATAAGATCCGGATTTTCAACTCCAATGTGAAGTCAGTGCTACTATACGGATCAGAGACTTGGCGAGTCATAAAGAGCATCTCAAACAAACTTCAGACCTTCATTAACAGCTGTCTTCGCTCAATACCACTCAAGATCAGATGGCCAGAAAAGATCAGCAACAGAGATCTCTGGCAATGAGCGAACCAACCCAGCAGGAACCGATTGTGAAACAAATAGGCAGGAAGAAATGGAGATGAATTGGCTGGCCATACGCTGAGGAAACCATCAAGTGACATCACTAGACAAGCCATTGCTCGAGTGGAACCCGAAAGGGAGGCGGCGAGTTGGTCGTCCAAGGGTGACTTGGAGGAGGTCATGCGAGGAGGAGATGAAAGCATGTGGACAGACCTGGAGCAGGTTGAAAAAGTTGTCAGAAAACCGAAGTCAATGGAGGTGCGCAGCTGAAGCCCTATGTTCCTCTAGGAACTAAAGGATACAATAATAATAATAATAATGGTCTTATCAATAATAAGGACGAAAAAATGAGGCAATCTGTGATAACACGAATAATGAAAAACAGCATGATTAAACAAACAATTGTTCAGGTGGAAGTAGTCGATAAAGGCTAGTAAAAACAAATGAACCGATCACGTAATGTTAGATTGTAGGGGAAGGAAATGAAACACGTTTATAATGAATATAAGATAAGATTAGGGGATGATAAGAAAGGGGTTGGAAATATAAATAAAGGGTGGTGTAGAAGTCTTTCGTTGGTTATGTCTTGTTAGGCCACGGGAGAGATAATGGCTGCACGAGCTTCTTTTGAATGCATAGTTTAGGTTTAATAGTTCGAATGCCTATCGCCTCAGCTGTGTGCAGTAGACGAATAAATCGTATTATCCTATAGACAAAACACCATGATTGGTTTATATTTGAATTTTTATTTGTAAACTTATATATATTAGAGTTAAGCCTGATGAGATCTAATTGAAAACAATATTGTTCGCTTAAATGTGTTGTTCTAAAATAGATGCGTCATTCCTTTTACACCGAGACCCCACAGTATATTTCATCGGTATCTCGTCAGCTTTACAGTATCTAAATAATGAAATTTAACTGTTCTATTACAGTTTTACCCGACTCTAGTTCATTGGAAATAAAACATGAAACGTTAATTAAGAATAATCATGATAAAATAGATGAATCGTGATTCTGTGTTGGTAAAATTTTCCCCTGTTTATATGTGTAATGTGATGTGAGTTTCTCAAATAAAATGAAACGTTGGGAGGAAGCAAGGTCAGCAACAAGATATTCAGGTACATAAATTATGAAGTCACATAAATCACTGAAAGATCATTGTTGCATGAGATATGAAGGACTGTGAGTGGAGCTCATCTGATTAGACATCAGACAAATGAAGCATGACAGTTAATCAATGATAATGCGACTAAGTGAGGCTTGAAGGAAGCCAGTATTCACATTTAATGAAAGATGACATGATCTGTTAAGGGTAAATACGAGTTACTGCAGTGGAGGAAAACTCATTGCAGTTTCTTGTTGAGTTGATGGGTCAACTTCTAATCGTTGGATAGTGATGGCCTCCGTGAACTTCCCCTGACTTCAGCTTGATTGTTTGTCTCTTTATTATAATTTGAAAGATTCAAGGTGACTCTATCTGATGTCTTGTATTGATCGGATGTCTCATCACTGCTCTGCTTAAAGATCTATCTTCTCTTAATCTTCTGCCTTAAAGTATCTGTTCAGAAAATCAGAACTAGACTGCACTTTCTGCTCTTCCGGTGTGTCTCTTTCGACAGTTGTTCGTATACTGATGATATACACGGATGGAGTTATTAACTTTTTTGTAGTTCATCCGGAAAACTTCTATCTTAGCACATAGCATACATCTCAGTACAGCAGTAATTTTTATATATTTTGCTAACCTAACATTTGATTCATTTATATACATACATACCATGATCATTCTTGATTTTCGTTCTCAACAAGACTACTGACAGTGGAAACAATGTTTATTACAGAGAGAGGTGTAATATATAATAGGGAAGTCACAGTCGACTACGTTGGTGATGTTACAATTTACAAATGTCTTCCTTGTCTGCTTACAACTGAATTTATTTAAGTGTTATCGTCTTCTTCTGTCATCTCTTCTTCATTGGTTTTTCCACTAACCCACAGATAATTAGTTCTTCTGTGATGATTTTAATCGACAGACTACTCATATCTATTTATAAGTAGTATATTGTATGAAAGAATATTTTATTTTTGGGTTAGGAAGAACGTTTGCTTCATGCTGCCTAATGAAACTTTAGAAATATATTTAAATGTGTAATATACACCTAACTATGAGAAATGAATAAATAAAGAATGTGTATACGAAATATAAGGAAAATGAGAAAGAATGTGTGTGTGTGTGTTTGTGCTCATCTTCAGTACCAGTAATAATGAGTGGACTTCTGTTATTGGTTTATCCATTTTAGTAGTGTATTCATAAGTCATTCATTGGGTAGCTTTTATGCACGAATTGCAAATGTATTAAGTCCTCCATGAAATAATGAAGGTTGTATTCTGAGTAATTCACCAAATGTTTCACAGAAAGTGTCTTCTTCAATAATACCACTGTAACAACAGAAGACAAGGGCCAGGAAACAGATCGTTTATTAAGGAAATCAACACATATTTATAGATTTTCATGTACATATTCTAGATTATTGTTAGCTGAAAAACACAGTCTTCTGATTGGTTGTTTCTCACAGAAAGTTAACCTTGCATCTCTTTGTGACTGTTTCTTGAATGTCAGATCATCTATATGCTAACTGTATCCGCCTACACAAAGCCTTTGTTCTCATTTTTCTCATGACCAATATTGGGGACATAAACAATGACGTAAATTACTGTCCACCAATTTTGGTTAACAGCCAGCTCTCAACACACTGCTAAGTCATTCAACCAACCATTGTGAAAACAGAAGTGAACTCGATGGGGTTATTTAGCCTTAAGACATTCATGGTGTTTGTGAAATGATCTCTTACCATGAGACAACCATTCGCCAAATGAGTACATGTCGGAAACCTAATAATTGTAGGTATAAGCAGGCTGCTTTTATCAAAGCTATTTTGTAGAAAACTTTGTGTGAGAACAACGGAATATGCTGACAAAACTCCTTCCGGTGAAATATTTTCTCTTCGTTTTACTAAATTCAGTTCTCACTATCCCGCTCGCTCTGAGTACATGGACAGTCACGATCTTAGCCAGAAATACCCGAAAGTAGTTGAACCTTCTAGATGCATACGAATTAAATTTAAGCACTGTGGTAATGTTTTAAAATCTCATAAGGGAATAATTCTGTTCCATAAAATAAACGCACGGTAATACACAAACTAAATAATACTACACTATTGCATGTTCTCTGTCTTCTATGGAGTAGCAAATATCACTGTGATGGAGAGATTAACTGAGTTATTCCTGAGTAGACAGACTGTTTGATACAGATATGGTGGCTGATGCATGTCGGTAAAATGAAAATCTGTGTTAATCGACGGATTCAAACCAGTGCCCACTAGATTATTGGTCTAGGGATCTTGTAGATTCGTTTGGATTAGTAATTCACCAGCCGTCGTTTCGAATTCCTCTGTGATCTCGACTGTCATCTCACCGTCAGTCACGGCAAACCTGTTACTAGGAAAATCTTATTTCCAACATGAAATCCGATTTTTACTCCCCTTAAGTTTCACCTTATTCGAGATGACTTTCTCATGCAGTTTATTTTCAGTTTTTCAGCGTCTTTTTTTGAAAAAATGCAGCTGGTTTTTCAGATAAGCATCAAAACTATGCATTTTTGTGGAATGCCCAACTAAAATGTGAATACAGCGAAAATATTCATTCAGAAATCTATAAAACACAAACAAAGAATTTCCTTTTCAATAATTTCCTCTTCTAGCTCTACAATTATATATGCATGTTTATATACATAGAATATTCTAGATTAGTAGTCAATAACAATATTAGTTTTTTTTTTAAATAATATCGATTTGTAAAGTAAGGTCAATGGAATTACAGTTCATTAAAATGCCAACATTATAATAGCTTAACAACAGAAGACAAGAGCTAGGGAACAGATCGTTTATTAAGGAAATCAACACGTATTTATAGATTTTCATGTACATTATTATAACTTATACAAGCAAACAAACACGCTCTTCTGATTGGTTGTTTCTCACTGAAAGTTAATGTTTCATCTCTTTGTAGCTGTTTCTTGAATGTCAGATCATCTATATGTTAACTGTATCCACCTACGCAAAGTGTTCTGTAGTTGTTTGTTGAATTAGTCTTTGTTCATATTTTCTCACGACCAATATTTGGGACATACATATTGACGTAAATTAATGTCTACCAATTTGGCTAGTAGCCTACTCTCACCACAATAGTAATAGTAATAATAATAATAATTTGAATAAGGCATTCAGAAGACAAATTTCGCGAGATGATATCGTCATTTCGTAGTTTCTTTACAACCGCTTTACAACTAACATGGTTAACAATAACAAAATAAAGTTCATGAAATTACTCAGTTAAATAGAAAAAGTACATGATATGAATATGATTGGTCATTAGCATGTACTTTTGTTTTTTTTATTTAACTGAGTAATTTTCATGAACTTCATTTTGTTATTGTTAAACATGTTAGTTTTAAAGCGGTTGTAAAGAAACTACGAAATAACGATATCATCTCGCGAAATTTGTCTTCTGAATGCCTTATTCAAATTTATCAAAGGGATTAATTGTTTTAGCAATAATAATAATAAAGATATAATAGCAAATAGAATATCAACCAAAATTAGGAAAATTCCAAAAAAATTCAGGATCATTCAAACCTAGATGGCCAAGGTAAGGACAATGTTTGAAATAACCTCTTTTGGACGCACACAAATTAGGCTTGTTAATATGGATCCCAACGGCCAGCCTCAGCAATATTTAGTAGTTGAACTCCTAAGGCGAAATTGAGGATGAATGTCTTGATGAGGAACTTAGTAATATTAAACAGTTGCTGAGTGAAAGTGGTTGTCCAGAAAAGTTCATTGATAAGAATATGAATGTAAACCCGAAGCAGTTCAAGGTACCAACACTTCCTAAAAACGCCTTATTCTTACAGATGCAGTTCCTTGGGGACAAAACCAGTGAGATACTAACACAGTGCCTTAGAAATGCTGTGAAAAGAGCATTCCCTGCTGCCGAATCACGCTGTGTCTTCAAAACCACTCCTCCTTTGCGTTCGGGAGTAAAAGATAAACTGTCTAATTTCGCCTCTTCCATGTGTATCTACCAATTTAACTGCTCTTGTGGACCCAGTTACATAGGCCGTACAATCAGAAGTGTTTGTCATCGAATTTCCAAACATCACCCTGCAAAGTGGTTAAGTAGTAAAGGACAAACAAAATCTATTCGTAGCGCTATCATATCTCATCTTTTTTATTGAAAATTTGCATCACTAAAATATTTTAAAAACTTGTACTTCACTGAAACCTCATTTTCACTTTCTTTTTTTTTTAAAAATCTGTTAACATTTCAAATAACTATTTTCTTCTCTAGGTCATTTGGTCAGAACTTGTGATCGATGAAAGTGATCAAACATCTGAAACTATTGGTGTCAGACAGTTGAATGATTTAATTGCTGCCGACAATGGTGTACGTATATCAATGCTTAATCTATCAGATGGACTAACAATTGTTGTCAAAAACTGACTGACCATTAGCCATTGCGATGAATTTATATTTTATGTGCCTATTGTAGCGTTTTGTATATATATATATATATATATATATATATATATATATCAATGCCAAAATTTATGTATAACTTCTGACTTTTGGTTGTTTTAAATAAACTTGTATCATTTACAGTCGATTTTTAACCGAAATTATTGTAGTAATTTGAAAGACTGTCATGATTTATGTAAACATTTGGAATGAACTCGTTGCTGATTTGCTATAGACCTGAGCTCAACTGATACGATCGATCACATCCATAGTTGATATGACCTAGTGAACTTATGTGTGTGAGTACAATAATAATAATAATACCAACTCAACCGATATCCTAGATACACGTATTCATCCGTAGCAACTTCCGGTTCAGTGATCCACGTAAATATCAAAAGACAAAGAGTGGCCTGTGACTGTTAAATTTATATATTTTTAATCACATTAAAGTCACTATGGGGCAGTAAAAATAGATTGTTCTGATTGGTAGGCGATCTTGCTAGGTTGGCGATAAATAAATATTCTGATTGGTTGATAATTTGACCAGGAATGGGATAAGAAAAGGATGATAAAAGTTTACAGTCATCCGATCGCGCGATAACTCAAAAGACGACCAATTTTTCTAACCCTATTCCTACCAAAAACACAGTTTATCTGAAACATGTTATGATTTATATGCTCAATATATTTTGAACACAGTCTGATCATACGTATTTGCATTTTTAGACATACTTCTGAGTCGAAAAGATGATGGTTCACTAAGACGATCAATCTACAGAAAGCCCACCTGGATAGGGCAATACCTTAATCTTCACAGTTTCTGTCCATTACAGTAAAAGAAAGGCTTGGTGAAATGTCTATTTAAGAGGATTTAACGTATTTGTACGACTGATGTTATAGACAAAGAAACCGACATATTGATAAAAACGGATATCCTCTAAAATTTTTAAACAGGTGTAGAAGTCAATTAGTCTCTAAACTTACAATCCATACCACCCCTAAGAAAATTGTTTTCATCAAATTACCATATAACGGGGAAATAAACAGTAGGATTTTGAGACAAAGATTGAATTCGATCATCCGTAGAACCTATTATGCAGCCCAGCTTGTAATTGAAAACATTTATTTCCCGATATGAATTTAAAACAAGCAATAAAGGTTAATAAAGCAGGATTTAATGAATTCATCAAATTTCGGTAGAACTCGTCAGCTGAATACTCTACATACACGGATATGTATACTTTCGAAATTACATTGGGAGATATAAGACTGATAAGTTGAATACTCTACATACATGAATATATATACTTTTGAAATTACATAGGGAGATATAAGACTGATAAGTAAACAAACTACATTGAATTAATCATGCAGAGAGACAGGTGCGAATATTTTCCAGGTCATGTTCAAATAGATAAGGGGAGAGAGAGAGTATGAGAGATCAAAATTAAGATAAATTGCATTACGCTTCAATTACATCACTTAGATAAACAATTAGTCATTAGGGAATATAACGAGAATTGCAAACAGACTAATATCAATAGTAATAGTTTTAATAACAATAATAATAATAGTGTTGAAGTGGGTTAAGATAATCTTACGGATAAAGCATAGATTTAAATGAATCAAGAATAATAATAATAATAATAGTAGTAATAATAAAAAAAATAAGAAGAAGAAGAGGTAGAATAATAGTAATAACAAGTAGAGAATAATAAGTAAAGCGTATTACCATGGTAGATTCAGAGTGACGACCATCTCCTTTTGTATACAGAGGGCTGGTTTGTAAATTCGAATTGCACAAGCCTCTGCAATTGCAAGCATCTTCTTGTTTCTTTGTTTGCTGACGATGGTGAATGACTTGACGGCGTCGATATCATGTCCGTAATCCACGAGATGTTTTGTTATTGAGGATTTTGGGACTTTGCACTCAGCTGTTTTCAACCATTTTGGCAAATGCTCCATCATGCGAGTAGACAATCGCCTTTCCGTACGACCTATGTACTTGCTGCCACAAACACACTCAAATTGATATATGCAGTTTGAAGTGTCGAGGATTGGCGACTGGTCTTTCCCAGATTGTTGAAGCACTCGCTTGGTGGTGTTGAGGATAACAAGTTTTGCAGCATAAGAAGTTCTCTTAATGGCTTTGTCGATTCTTCGTTTCACTACTTCCTGTACGTCATCTCCTTTGAACGGCAAACTGATATAGACAGATTTCTTCGGAACTGTTTGGATTGTTTTGCAGGGGGTAGCTAGAAAAATAAATGAAAAATGAAAAACCAATAGATGCAGGTGTCAGACTACCAACTTCATCTATAGCTAAACACCTAATCGAGATGAACCATAAGATTGACGTTAACTCAGCCTTTAAGGTCATCTATAAAAACGATCAAGGGCGCTTATTGAAATACGCCGAGGCTATAGCTACTCAAAAACTTAAGCCCCCCCCCCCCGCTGTGTATTCAAAAACAGTTTATTATTACTCCTAACCTACCTTGGTAATCCTTATTTGATTGGATTACCAAACGTTGTGTTCAGGTAAAATATACGAAGAAGATAAGAGATTTAAGAATAAGAAGGATATTGATTAACACAACTTTTGGTAATATAATCACCAGAGATGCATCATTTAGTCTGTAATCATGATTAGTGAAGCTGTAGGCATATTTTATGTGGGCCAATTCTGATTGGTTTATTTCCAGATTGGACATTGACTATCATATTAAATATTGACTTCTTTTTTTACAGATATGGAGGAGTTTGATCTCACGCATACCTATTGCCTCAGTAAGTGCCCTTGACGCTTTTTATAGATAAGTCTGGTGATTTCCAAGTGTTCATTTTCAAGGATTTGGTTGGTTTCAATTTCGGTCATAGATTGACTTCAGTCAGAGGACCACTGAAAGCAAAGAAGATGTATAGAGAAAAGCGACTCAAACAGATCAATAGTAACAACCCAATGGGACACAAAAGAAGTTGTACACAATCGTTATTCAAAAAAGCCTGAAAGTATTACAGTTCTCTAGTCCTAAGGAGGATAGAAGAGAAACATCTCATGACCGACCGTCTTCCAAAAAGTGGATATCCACGAAATTTTATTAAAAGAATTCTACACTCAAAATGGACAACCAGCAATAGTGAGGTAAACATTTGTTATGATGGTTGCCATATGTGAAGAATATTTCCGAAATCTCTGAAAGACTACTGAAACCTTCTGGAATATATGTTACCCACACACCAACAAATTCTGATCAGTCGGTACTATTTCAAGCTAAAGACACGAAAAATAAAGAGGAAATATTATCCATAAGACGAATTGCAACAACTGTGAAAAACATTACATTGGTCAAAGTGGACACCATCCTTATCATTGCATCGACGAATATAAACTGGCCGCCAAATGGCATGGTTTCCATTCCTTCATAACAATCCATGCAGACAATGTGGAGAAAATGTACAAAGAAAAAACACCAAAATTGCCAAGTAATTTCTAGAAACCTGTCACTCAGAAGAATGTGTAATCAATAGGCACATTTACATGGTTACGGTGTGCTAATCAATAAAAATGAAGTCATATAAATAAAAAGTTAACTTTCAGGTCGGCGAAACAATCAGTACCAATACTAGTAGACTAGATGGTGAGAAAATACCTACAATTAACTGGTCAGAAATAAAGTTACCAGGAGATGTGGCTGATAAACTCCTGAAGAATTCTCAAATCTCACTTCAAATTGAAGTATCAGCTGAAGATGTTGTCTAGACAGACATTGAAGATTTAGCAGTGAAACCATATAGCTAAAAGAACGCGACTACATCAATATAATTCGCGAAAGCTACGAATCCACTACATCATGTCTAATAGTATGAGTAGTTGGAAATGATCGTAAGAGACAAGATGTAAAGTTACTGAGTAGCATTTAACCAGCACTACAAAGTTGTGTATGCTGTGATACCATCTTCATTGGTAGCTCATCTAACGTCTGTTAGTACTGTCAATGAAGAATAAAAGAGGTAGACCCAGTTTCTTGGGAATATTGACGAAACAGAAATATATTTAAGTGAGAATAAATGTTGGAGTTATTTCAGGGAAAACTTCGACGTACTTTTCTAGACAGTTTGTCTGAGCTAGAGACTCTGAAAATGTGCCTATTAAGCATCACGACTGAAGTGTCAAAAAGGTGATCACGTCGGTGCTCTTTGGAATGAAACTTAAAGTACCTTAAGTGTCTGGAAGCTCCTACCCAATAGTTTATGTAACTAAACTTTAGTTAATTCAACTTGGTTTATTTATCTTGGTCCGAGTTTTATTTCACTGCCAAGAAGGTTAACTACCCTGTAGTATGGTTTGAACTAGTCTAATTCTCTGGATTCACCGTAAAATGCGTACGCCGATCAGAATCTCGGCTGCAAACGAGCTAGATGGTCACCTCGTCGGTGAATGCTGTTAGCTGACTTGATTCTACTTAGTAATTATGTTTAATATTTTATTGAAACATGGAACTTTCAATACATTTGGATGGTAATCGGAATGGAAGGTTTGTTTGAATTCAGATTAGCCCTGAATTAGTCTCATTGTGACTCGATAATTAGGTTTAAGGGTTCATCCTCTAACAGTAGTATGCAGCACACAAGCAGTTTCAGCTTAGTGTCTTGAGAATTACATTCTGCAATGCATTCGCTTGTCAGCATCACACTTGAACAGTAGGAGTGGCAATACTGCATCTTTTCATATATGTGCGGAAGGTGCACGATCCGTATAGGCGGTGAACCTTTAGCTTCTTATGAAAAAGCACTGTGTCATTTTGAGAAAGGTACTAAGGGTTGTCAGTAGGGCAATTGGTGTGCAACTTAGTCAGCTTGTCACTACATTAGTTGGTAGACATTTAAACTCATGTGAAAAATGGCTTAAATCTATATTGTCTGACTTTCAGCACGCAGCTCCTGTATTCTCAACTCTCCCCTTGCTGTATTTTATCTGGTGGAACCAGAAGTCAATACAAAAAAGGACTATAAGCTCGTACTACTAAGTACAGAAACTCAACAATACCATATTTAACCCGTGTTCTACATGACAGAGACAATGTAAAGCTTGAAACTTATGGATTACTATGTTGTTAGCTAAATAATTGGCCCTTTTATTATCTTCCATTTGTAATCTATGGGGTGACACTATCTCAATTAACTGATAATCTTAACTACTAACATTATTATTGTTATTATTTATTTTACAGTTTTTTGTATGTTTATGATCTTACTGTCACTGCTAATACCAAATAAGACCTGTCATTGACAATCTTGTAATATTATATTCATTATTGTTTTTATTATTATGATTATTGATATTAGATGCTATTATTATTATTATTATTATTATTATTATTGTATCCTTTAGTTCCTAGAGGAACATAGGGCTTCAGCTGCGCACCTCCATTGCCTTCGGTTTTCTGACAACTTTTTCACCCTGCTCGAGGTCTGTCCACATGCTTTCATCTCCTCCTCGCATGATCTCCTCCAAGTCACCCTTGGACGACCAACTCGCCGCCTCCCTTTCGGGTTCCACTCGAGCAATGGCTTGTCTAGTGATGTCACTTGATGGTTTCCTCAGCGTATGGCCAATCCATCTCCATTTCTTCCTGCCTATTTGTTTCACAATCTGTTCCTGCTGTGTTGGTCCGCTCATTGCCAGAGATCCCTGTTGCTGATCTTTTCTGGCCATCTGATCTTGAGTATTGAGCGGAGACAGCTGTTAATGAAGGTTTGGAGTTTGTTTGAGATGCTCTTTATGACTCACCAAGTCTCTGATCCGTATAGTAGCACTGACTTCACATTAGAGTTGAAAATCCGGATGTTATTTTTGATGCTGAGTGCTGTTGACCTCCACAGAGATTTGATGCTATACTATATCAAAAGTCGAAAATTCCACACTGTAACATTACTACTGTTTTGAAATAAAGCAAATTACTATTATTATTATTATTATTACAAACGAGTTCATTATGGATACTATAAAATATGTTTTCCTCAGAAGTGTCTCATAAACAAATTCTCTAAATGTTCTTATAATTTTGACAGACGAATCGCCAAAGAACACCACAAAGACATTCGAATTATTATTTTTATTTCCTTTAATCCCTAGATGAACATAGGGCTTTAGCCGTACGTCTCCACTGCTTTCGGTTCTCCGCCAACGTTTTCACCTGGCTCCACGTCCGTGTGATGTCACTCACTTGATGGTTTGTTTTCTCAGAGTATTGCCAATCCACCTACATTTCTTCCTGCATATTTGTTGCACAATCGATTCCTACTGAGTTGGTTCGCTCCCAGAGACCGCTGTTGCTGATCTTTTCTGGTCATTTGATCTTGAGTGGTGTTGAGCGGAGACAGCTGTTGATGAAGGTGTGTAGTTTGTTCGAAATGGGGCCTTCGTGAGGAGCAGTGCAAGTCTCTGATCCGTATAGTAGCACTGACTACACCTTGGAATTGAAAATCCGGATCTTATTTTTCGTGCTGAGCACTGTTGACCTCCACACAGGCTTGAGAGAAACGAAAGGTTGTCTCGCTCCCCCAATCCTCGATGATCATTTTTCACTTTCATGTATATCCCCTTACTGACATGATATTTTCGCTACATGATGACTGTAAGAGTGTAGAAAAATTGGGTGTCACCCTTGAGTATGGAGACGTTAGGCAGCAGTTTATTTAATTAATCTTCAGTTGATTCATTTTTTTACAGTAACAAGAAGGTGCATTACACTGTACGGTTTGCAAACCCGAATTAATGCGGTTTCTGTTAATGGAGTTCCTTAAAGTTCATTGTAAATGGCTACACCAATGCTAATCGCGACAACAAGCGAGCATGCGAAGACTACTGCTTAACCTGAACAGTTTCCAACTACTGATGTCAAGTATTAGTATATACCACCCGGCAGTTAGACAGTTGAATAATAATTGTGGGTGACACCCACCAGAACATAAAGAGAAAAGAACAAGAATTCCAGCTGTGATATACTGATGGGTATTTTCTAATATGTGAAGAGTGCCAGGATCCCTAGACAGTGAAGGAATTCAGAAGGTTTCTGGGCTGGTTGGTCCGAATTGAATGCAAAAGTGAACTTCCTGAAAGACTGAGATGAGCTTCACCTTCTTTTTTTCTAATTTTGAACAATATTCCAAATAAATAATTGTATTGGTCACAGGATTTCATCATGAGCTGATATAGGTTTGGGGAACACTGGAAGACCATTCATGGAGT